ATAACAAGAATAGTCCAAACACAAAACTAGTAAAAGGAAAGAAATTATAAAGATCATAGTGGAAATCGATTAAACTGGGACTCAACAATACAATCAATGAGTCAAACAGTTGATTTTATGAAAGGATAAATAAGATTGATAAACTCTTAGCCAAACTTGCCAAAAGAGGAGAAAACACCAGATCAAGATAGAAATGAAAAGGTGATTTAACAATAGATATTACTGAAATCCAGAAGATTATAAGAAACTATTTTGCTAAACTATCTTCCAATAATTTGAAGACTTTAGGAGAAAGGGATAACTCCTTAGACACATATAACTTACCAAAATTGAACCAGGATATCAAAACTGAATAGACCAATAACAGTTAATAAATTGATGCAGAAATAGAAAGTCTATCAACTAATAAAAGCTCAGGACCTGATGAATTAATCATCACCAAATGTTGCCATAACTTCTGAAAGGAATTAACACCACCACTCTTCAAACTTTTCCACAAAGTTGAAAGGGATGAAATTCAGCCAAACTCATCTTTGAAGCCAGCATTGCCCTGATAACAAAACTAGATAAGGACTCATCCAAAAGAGAAAACTACTGCAATGAAATTCCTCAATAAGACCTTCACAAATAGAATCCAATGACATTTGAATTTATATGCCATAACTGCATTGTTTTTATCCCTGGTATGTAAGGATGATTCAATATAAACAAATCAATAAATGTAATACAACACCTAATTAGGATCAATAATAAAAATCACATGATCATCTCAAAAGATGCAGGGTAATCTTTGACAAAATTCAACATCCTTTCATAATAAAAATCTTTATGAAAATAGGTGTAGAAAGACTTTACCTCAAATTAATAAAAAGTGCTTATGACAAACTCACAGACAATGTCCAGGTAAGTAGGGAAAGACTGATAGAATTCCTGCCATAGTCAGGAATAAGACAATGGTATCTGTCCACTCTTACTATTCCTCTTCAATACAGTACTCAAGACTTTAGCCAGAGAAACTGGGCAAGAAAAATAAGTAAAAAGGATACAAATAGGAAAGGAACAAGTCAAACTATTTTTATTGACATGATCATCAAAATAGAAATCCTAAAATACTCCATCAGAAGACTTAGAGCTAATAAACAAATTCAGCAAAGTGGCAAGATATGAAGTGCTAAATTGTAGTAAAGAAATGCACAGTAGTGGCACAAAAATAGACATGGTGTGGAATAAAAGATTAGACCAATGAAGCCGGGTGTGGTGGTGCACACCTGTAATCCCAGCACTTGGGAGGCTGAGGCAGGAGGATTACTGTGAGTTCAACACCAGCCTGGGCTACATAGTGAGTTCCAGGTCAGTCTCAACTACATAATGAGACCATGTCTCAAAAAACAAAATAAAACAAACAAACAAAGATTAGACTAATGAAACAGAATAAAAGAAACAGAAAAAAAAAAAACCTATCCACCTTCCGGCAGGTGAACTTTGACAAAGAGGCCAATATATGCTGGAGTAAAGATAGACTTTTTAACAAAAGGTGCAGGGTAAACTACTCATGCATACACAAAAGAATACAGCCAGACCCCTATCTCTCAGCCTATATTAACATGAAATAAAAATGGATCAAAGATCTAGGCATAAAAGCAGAAATGTTGAAAGTACTGCAGATACCATCAGGGGAACACTCGAATCCATAGGCATAGGCGGCACTTCTTGAACAGAACTCCGATACCATGAAAAATGAACACAGGCATGCATGTGTCACTGTAATGGAATGTCTTTAACTCTTTCAGGAAGATATCTAGAAGAGGGAGAACTGGGTGAAATAGAATTTCTAGTTTTAATTTTTTGCGGAATCCCCATTTTGATTTTCATAGTGGTTGTACTAGTTTACATTCCCACCAATCTTTGTAGAGGGGCTCCTTTCCCCCTGGATCCTCTCCAGCTTTTGTTATTTGATTTCTTCATGATGGCCATTTTTTTCTGCAAAAGATGGACCTTCTTTATTATTTTAATTTGTATTTTTCTGATGGCCAGTGATGTTGAGCATTACTTCATGTATTTATTGGGCATTTTTACTTCTTCTGTGGTTTCTGTTCATTTCACCTGACCATTTTTAATTAGGTCTTTCCTTTTGGAGGGTCTAAATTTTTTAGTTCTTCAGCTATTCTAGATATGACTCTTCTGTCTGAGGAATAGATAGCAATTTTTTCTTGTTCTATAGCTTTTCTTTTCACTTTTTTTTTACTGTGCAGAAGCTTTTCAAAATGATATGAATCCTACTTATTGATTTTTGCTATTTCTTGTGCAACCAGACTTCTGTTCAGAAAATCCTTGCCTATGACTATGACTTTTAAAGAGTTTTATGTATTTTATCTCATCAGGTTAAATGTTTTCTTTTAACATTTAGTTCTTTGATCTACTATGATTTTAGTTTAGTACATGGCAAGATTAAACCCTCTACACGTGGATAGCTAGTAGAATGGGTAAAAAATTTTATCAGCTACTGTTCTTACAGAGAACTAGTGTCCAGAATAAAGAACTCAATTTCCTAGTAAACAAATGGCCCAATTAAAAAAAAAAAACAGGCAAATGAAGTAAATAGACACATCTTTGAAGAAGAATTGTGAATGGCCAATCACACATACAACATGTTTGAAATCTTTAGCCATTCAGGCAATGAAAATAAAAATCACTCAATGAGTTGGTTTTACTGGAGTTAGAATGGCTATTATCAAGTACATAAAAACAACAAATGCTGTTGAAGATGCCAAGGAAAGATGAATCTTCTATATTTTTGGCAGTAATGTAAAACAGCACAACTACTATGGAAATCAGTATGGAGATTCCTCAAAAACCTAAAAGTAGGAATTCCATTTGACCCACCGACATCTCTCCTGGGCTTATTTCTGAAAAAGTTAAAGTCATCGTACTATCAGCAGTACATGCATAGCCATGTTATGAAAGCACAAATTACAACAGTTAATCCCTGAAAATAATGTAGATGCCATAGAGAGACAAGCAGATAAAGAAAATGTGATGTATACACACAATGGAAATTTATCCATCCATAAAGAGGAATGAATTCATGTCTTAGAAGGAAAATTAATGTATTGTGAACCCACAATGTTAAGTGAAATGTCAGACATGGAAAGTTAAATATCATAGTGTTTTTCTTCTATTAAAACACAAAATATCAATGAATTATAGAGTAAAATAAAGGAGAAATGGTAAGAAGAAGGCAAACTATTTGGAGATGGAAAAGGGGCTTGAGGAAAGGAGAAAAAAGAGGCTGATGGCAGGGAAAATGAATTGAAAATGATCAAAATATGATATACGCTGTTACCCCCAAATGAATGTATATATTATATGTCAGAACATAGCGATACAAACATGAAGCTTCCTCTTACTAGAGTTGGCTGTATTAAGAAGCATGTGGAGACTGGATAAAAATGATTTTTAAAAAGGTAAAATAGAGTACTACTCAGCCGTGATGAATGAGTTATTTATAGCTGAGTGGATGTGCATTGAGGCCGTACTCTTAAGTGAAAATAAGTAAGTCACAGATGTATAAATACTAAATAGTTTCTCTGGTGTGAAAAACTAAAAGTTTAAATGAGAATCAAAATGTGTAATTGGTATTGTGTAACAGGAAAAAAAGGTTTAAAAGAGTAGAGGAAATGTGAGGAGTAGGGGAAAGGTAAAAAGGGAAAAGAAAAATATGTGAAAAGGAAAAATATGGAAACAATGTCTTTGTAAACAGGGAAGGGTGGAGCAGGTAAAGGGAGGGCTGGGGAATGGGGAAAAATAATAGGCTGATAAGTCATATAAAGGTACAAGTTTCCAATGATAAGTGTAACTGTATTGGATCACTAAAATGTACCTATACACTTAATAAAAAAAGAAGCATGTGGCGAGAAAGAGGCAATACCCTTCTCCTACTCCAGGATTGGAGTATCAAACACCATATAGAAGGTGACTGGGTTCAAATACATAGCGATGCAGATTCATTAAGTAGAATATTGAGTGGCAAAACACTTTGGGCTGGGACTGGGCAATTGTGAAATATTTTCCATGAAACAATTTTTTGAAAGCCTAAAGGATAGCCAGTTAGAGTCATAGTTTTTGTGACATTGTGGCTGACAGATAAACCGAATCCCTTGGAAAGTTTATAAACATATCCCCCCACTATGATTTCATGAATAAAAGTTAGATTCTGTTCTGCGTAATTAGGCACTATTGATGTGATATGTCAATTACACATTCTTGTTTTAAAAAATTTCACCAAAGTAATTGCTAATGAAGTGTTAAATTTGTCCAAATTGTATTTTCAAAAATAACTTAATTTGTAAACTTGGCATTATTTCAAAATATATGGGTTTTCATATAATGATGATTAACTTTTGGTCCCTTTTTAGTAGTGTATATAATCTTATAAACCAGTGAATCAATTTAAGTTTTAAAAATATATGGGGCTTGAGGACAGAGAGCTATATTTTTATTAATTTCATGAAATTTTCTCTGGGTCCAAATCCTGAAGAAAAAATAGAATTCAGTGAAATGAGATTTGTATTTTGGTCCACAACTATGTGATACTTGTTCTACTTGTGTGTAATTAATTATACTCACTTATTAAACTTCATTAACATTTTAAATATTAATACATTGACTGAAGTACTGTTACTTTGCTTACCTATTTAAACACACACTATTTTTCAAGCATAGTTAGTGACTAATTCCTTGGTAATCTCTTTTCATGCTTTACAAATCTTCTGCACTGGAACATAACGTGCGAATTGAAGATCAAAGCTCACGGACTAGGCCCAGATGGATTTATTTGATTGATATGCAGATCTCGACACAAACCAGATGCAGATTTGTATCAGGCTGGCACCAAATATTTGTGCATGATTCAAAAGCTAACTACAGTTTTGGATTACTTGTCATGCTGATGTACTTTACTCAGTTTAGAATTTTTATTTGTTTGCATGTAATGTTGACAGGTTGCTTCAAAGATGGGCAACATCATGAAGAAGGATCAGTGATTACAGACAACTGCAACTCCTGGTAATGAATTTAAGTTACACAGAATGAATTCAACTGTTCACGTTTGCCTCAGATAAAAGCAACATCAGTGAAACAAAGCATATATTTAAACACATGTGGACAGAAGCATATAGATCATCACACACCCTATACATTTTTATAGGCATAAGTAAAGGATGTTAGAAATGTGTTCTTGTACATATTTTTTAAAGCTTCAGTTTGACATTTTTGATAATGAGCCTTCAATTTACTGCAAGCTTTCATTAAGTATATTTATTCATTTTTAAAACATTTTGATACAGCATAGCCAAATTGTATTTTTTAAAAGCATAATACTGTACATAAGAACGGACTGTTTAAAAAAGAAAAGCTTGCTGATAGTGTCCAAACGCACTGAGCTACTGTCTAAATTGTCCCATTTAAAACAATTTCACTGGGTATGTTGTTACATCATTCACTGATTGCTTGAGGCAGAGGACAAGCGCCCACGAGTAGTGACAGCTAGTGCATGCTTTATGGTTTATTTCAGACGTGAATCAAATAACCATATGATTTGTGTGAATCAAGCAAGTATATTTTATCACTTAACAATTGCAGCTCTTGTTTCTGATTTTGAAATGCAGAAGGTCAGTCTACTATGATAATTTTTGTATCTCTGCAGCACGTGCTCAGGCCAGCAGTGGAAGTGTTCCCAGCGTGCATGCCTTGTTCGCCCAGAATTAATTGAACACATCAACAAAGGGGACTATGGGTGAGTGAAATCTTTCAAGATAGGCTCTTGTCACACCCAGTTACTGTTCGGTCACCTACTCCTAAAATGGTCATTACTTGAAGAATGTGAGTGAAATGGGAAGGGAGGTAAAAATGTGTGTACGCTTGGAAGGTACATGGTAAAAATAAAATAATTAAAACATAAGCTTCAAAAATAAAAGAGATACAGAGCCTATCCTTAGATTATTATGAGAGATCAATGTCATAGTATGAGTGAGGAGGGTGGAGGGAGCCTTACAGTGAGTCAGGAAGGTGGCAGAGCTGGTGTAGTCACATTAACCATTTTGTCTCTGTTGCTGGCTCCGTGCAGCCAGTCCCAGGCTCCAGTTATCCTGAGCAGAATATGGCCTTAAAAGCACAACATTCTGTCTTGATGACCTCCCAGATAACGTCAATCTAGACAATTTCACTGAAATGGCTGAGACTGAGACAATTTCATTTCAGGCTGGGTCAGAAGATAGGTTGAGTCACTTTGCTAGTAATATAAAGATCAGAATCACTGATACATTTAAACATTGGAAATAGCTGTTGGGTGCTCTCCTGTAGATTATTAGTAAAGTGGGTGGCTTCTCCTCTTACACAAAGGGAACTAGGCTGTGGGTATCAGTACTTGCTTTCTCTAAGGAGCCGAAAGAAAGAGGCTGGCTAATACCTGCCTTGGAATATTTGCACCACCATTGACCAAATCTCTATTTACCTTGACAGCATGTAATAAGGAGATTTGTTTTCAGGCCCCTGGAAAAGTGAAATAATCCCGAGATGCATTGTTTTTAAGTAGAGGTGTCATTTCCTTCCACACATAAGACCTTACATTTCCTAGCAAAATAGGGACACTGAATTTCAATGTACCAAAGGTATTTTCTTGGAAGACACAAAATAGAGGAAGTCACATTTGCTGACAATGGTTTTAAATCATTTTCACTCTTTCATGCTGTATTTAACCAATATTTTACGGGATAACTTGATTATATTTAAGTATTTCTAGGAAAAAAAACCAATGTAAACTTCTGTGGTTAAGTGGTTTTTTTAATCGTTCAAAGGACATGAGTTTTGAAAAATTAACCAAGCCAGCCTCCTAAAAAGATATGCTGGACCTGATTAATGCTCACTTCCAAGGAACCATAAACTAGGTTGGCTTTCCACTGCTATGAAATACACGAGACAGCGCAGTAGGGCCCAGAAGTTGTGGGAGGATTCTTGGAGAGAAGAGTTCCTTTCCATCATTTGTTCATCTTGTGCAAGCTGCACACTATTTAGGAGAACGGACTTTGTGCTTTCATAGCAAATATTAAAGCATTATGTGGCCTCATGAGAATTTTCAAAAGGGAAATATAATTAGAGCAAAAGGAAATGTGCACAGACCGATCAGAAGAAGTTAAAAGAAATAAGCTATGAAGAAAAGGATCAAAAGCAAAATTATTTACCAGGGAACAAAAGGGAGAAATGCTCGTTTTTAAAAGAAACTTTTACTCCTCTGCTCTTGCCTGCCCACAATGCTCAAATTATGTTTATACCGTATCATTCAACATTTTTTAAATATTTTAAAAAATAGCCTGCATATGGATGTACATTGCCTTCAGTATTCTCCACACCTTGATAGTACTTTCGGTTCGAGGCTGATTCTACATGATGTATTTAAGCATTTATTTGCTCCCTATATTATTTCTCAAGACAATCAGTTAATAGTAATAAAACTTATGTTCCATTTGCGGCATTGCTAAGGATTCAGAGAAGTGATTTCTGCCTTGCAGGCATTTAGCCTATGGCCAAGGAGCTAACATTTAAGGGATTTGCAATGATAGGGCAGAGTAGAGGTCAAATTCATGGCAGAAATAATAATTAGCAATTTAATGGAATAAGTGGGGTCTGAAAACTATTTCTGTTATCTTTTGCCATGGAACAAACCACTCCAGAATGTAGCCCTTTACAGCCAAAAGCTTTTCTTTCACTTATTCCTGTCGGCAATTCAGGATGGACTCAGCAGAGGCTCTTGCTGGCCTCCTCTGGGGTTGCTTATGAGTCTAGAAATCTGGACACTCAGCTGAGGCTGGTATCTCTGAGGTGCCTTCCCCTACTCCTGTGGGTCAGTGCTGGGTGCCACCTCCCAGCAGTCCTTCCTGGGGATAAGACAGTGTTCTGACAGGACAGGGCTTTCTTGGGCCTAAGCTTAATGACTGCACAGCATGATCCTGTGGCTTTCTTAGGAACAAAACAAATTACTACCTTTGTAGTATGTCAGTCTACCAATGGAGACCAGAGAGATTTCACCTCTTGATGGGAAGAGATACACATAGTTTGTGGCCATTTTTAATTAATCACATTACTAAACTTGATTTTTTTAATGAACTCAAAATGTAGTTTGTTGAATCAATTGACGTTGATTTCTCACGGGGCTTTGAAAATCAGCATGTCTCAAATTTAGGAGGGCACCAATACCTATCCTTGGTTTTTGGCATCTGCTCGCCCCTCCGCAAAGCTAGAAAAATTGAAGGTACTTTTATTGTTTGTTCCTTTTTACTCAGTCTATTCCTCGGTAATTTCCATGATCAGAGCTTCTCTTAGATCTTTACTTCTTCTATGCCTAGCCTCTATCCTAGTGCATTTCCTTCACAAGTCTAGTTTGAAATGACCCAATATGTTTCTCTGCTCAGTCCAACCTAACCCTGTTTTCTACACTTGGACGGTTATCATTCTGAAGCAAAGCTTTGTTTCTGCCACATGTTCTTCAGATCCTCCTTTCCATGTTCTCGAAATATAAGTATTTTCCATGGCACACATGACTGTCTGGCCCAAATAAGGTTTCTTTCACCCCGTTGTTTACCTCCTTTTCAGCATTTGTGTTCCTACCTCTTCATAATTTAAATACTTCATTCACCCTGCCATTTTCTGTATGTGCCCAATTCCAAGCTTTGTTTTAGTTGCTTTTGTTTTGAATAAAGGCCATCTTTTTTCATATTTGGTCAGCATACTAGTTATTTTCCTTTCAGACTAAGCATTGAATTTACTTTCTGTAAAAATGTAACATTTCTTTGAGGCAGAGTTATGTTTGAATCCCCTGCTCTGATTGTATTTCACCCCTTGCTAATAAAGGTCACACATTAAAGTCATTTTTTCTTTGTAGTCTTTGTTAGGGTATGAGTTCCTTGAGGATAGAGAAATTTATTCATTTCTGTGTCTCAATGTTTACCAGAGATTGTGATAGATAAGTTAAGAAAATTCACTAAATGCTAAATTGGATGAAAACCAAAAAGTGTTGAGTCTAGGCCATAGAGGATGGTGTGAGGCAAGAGTGACTTTCATACTTTTTGGACATAAATCAGAGTAAAGCAAACATTTAGCTTTGGGATTGATGGAGAGTGATCAAACAAAATGGTATGTGTTTAAGTAAAATAAAATAAATGTATTAGACTGAATGGCACGTTGCTCTTAATCCCTTTCAAGATACTCACCTCCCTCGTTCTGAACACACATAACCCATCATCCCGCCATTTCAGAAGCAGTTCTTTTCCATAAATGTCTTAGTTGCACTGTCGTGGGTGTTTTGATGTCTTGAATCAATTTAAAAGCTACTTTTCATGGTCGTTTTGACTTTGAGGAAGGTCCAGAATCTGTGCCCTGCTGGCTCAGGTAAACACGGTGGATGAGGATGCACCATAATATTTTTTTTTCTTTTCTTTTCTTTGGTACTGAGAATTGAACTCGGGTCCTTGCGCTGGCAAGGCAGGTGGTGGAACCACTGCGCTAAATCCCCAGCCCTATACCCTGTTTTATGAGCCTGCCTTTACATTGGATGACATTGGGCAGCCATATTCACCAATTTTTTTTTATCACAACTTGTAATGACATTTACAGAAAAAGACCTCCAGAACTGCTTCAAAAAGTGGCATGAGTTGTGAGATAAGTGGTTTTGAAACAAGAGGGAGAATGCTGAGGAGAATTAATGGCAATGTGTTTTACCATAATAATATTTTTTTAAAATAATTAAACATTCGCCATATTTTTGATCACTTCTTGAAGTATTCACATGTGTTTAGATGCAGAAAAGTGGTATCTACTCTCATTATTTTCAATAAATTCTAATGATTCTTATTATGTCTCTTATCTTGTTTAAAATGTTCATTCCTGCTTCTCAAATTGAGTGCATAATTCAATGACCCATGGATGTCTCCGTCAGCATTTACAAACGATTAGTGTAGGGCACCAGAAACAAACCTCACTGATCTCACACTTTTTCAAGGTGGATACTCTTAGTCTCTCAAATAATATTACAATATCTAATATATTCAGAATTTTCTTATTGAAATTCTTTGGGTGATGGAGATTGCACTTTAAAATTGCAGGTGAAAGTTGTTTAAAATTTTATGAACTTAAAGATTTTATGAAAGGAAAGCACTAACTCACCATGCATATTGAAAGTTGAGTTGTATTCCAAATCATTCATAAGAGCCTATCACATTAGAAATCAGTTTGATGAGAGCAACAGGATAAAATCTATATTTAAATACTGACTTCAAGTTGTATAGAATCCTAATAAGCAATGATTAAATCACTTTTTTTGTTGTTTTTTTGAGACAGGGTCTCACTATGCAGTTGAGACTGACCCTGGAAATCACTATGTAGCCCAGGCTGGTCTCAAACTCATAGCAATCCTCCTGCCTCAGCCTCCTGAGTGCTGGATTTACAGGTGTGCCCCACCATGCCTGGTTACATCACTTTCAACTTTCTCATTTTTCAGCTATTATTTTCTATTAAGGGAATTTTTACCTTCATATTTCAATACTGTTTCAAAAACAGTATCTTTGTCTAAATAAAACTACAAAGTTTCTCTAGGAAAATATGTACTTTTGTTACTTAAATTCACAAGATTGACTGTATTACTATTGATAACTCATATTCTTAAGCACTTGACATACATTTTTCATGTACTATAAGATAGACTTCTTTCAATACCTGTCTCTAATTCAGTTTTTAAGTGTAATTTGTCTTCAGTTTTCCCCACTGCATTTCTTTCCACCTCTTTACTTTTTAAAGTTTAAAATATAAAGAAAAAGTTATCGCAATTAATCGGCAAATAGATTTCTGTATATTCAAGCTTCTTTCTTTTTTTTCTTTTTCTTTTCTTTTTTTTCTTTTTTGGTTTTTTGAGACAGAGTCTCACTATGTTGTTCAGAGTGCTCTGGAACTCACCGTGTAAGCCCAGGCTGGTCTTGAACTTGGAGCGATCTGCCTGCCTCAGCCTCCCAGTGCTGGGATTACAGGCATGTGCCACCACGCCTGGCTTCAAGCTTCTTTCGCATTTAGGAACATATAAAGGATCCTCTCTATATATTGGCACTATTACCACTTGATCCCCTCACAGTAAGTAAAGGCGCCTTCCTCGTAGTTTCTGCCTATCCTGATGCAGCCTGAGGGGCTTCATCTGAGTTATTAACATGGACCAATTTTAGGACAAATGCCTCATATGGTTGATTTTAAGAATAATCAGTAATGCACCCATTCATATAAAGACTATCCAGCCTGCAGGCCTTGGTTTTGCATTGTGAGATCTGCCATGCAATTGTAGAAATGTAGGTGGACATGTATTTGTGAGAGTGATGCCACAAACCTCTCTCCCATTCTCTTTCATGTATAAGGCAGATGGACAGCTCAGAACTACAGCCAGTTCTGGGGAATGACACTAGAGGAAGGCTTCACTTTTCGCCTGGGCACCTTGCCCCCCAGCCCCACGCTCCTGAGCATGAACGAAGTGACGGTGGGTGTTCTTCCTGATTGGCTGGTGGTGCCTGCATTTGTGTGTGTTCACCCGTGTGTTGAAAGATAACTAAAATTGTGAGTTTTGAGCTTTCCCAGTCTTGGAAATACACATTGTGCGTGTGTCTTGTTAAACATGAAATTCTTTTTTTTTTGGTACAGGGGACCGAACTTGGGTCCTTGTGCTTGCGAGGCAGGCAGCTGAACTACTGAGCTAAATCCCCAGCCCTGAAATTCTTTTTAACAGAATGATTACTAAACCCCTCACAAGTTTCACATGAGCTTTGAATATTCACGACTTTCAATCAGACATAGAATCATTTAAAGAATGACTGAATGTTCCTTTCTATTGCCAATGATTTCAGAAAAACGCATATTTTTGCTGACTGGTTACTGAGTGCTCCAATATTGCAGCCAATCAAGTCTTTATTTTTATTTTTAAGCTAAACATACTTATTTTGTGAACTCATCAAAATTGTTTTGATGTCTTTTAGACTATTATCTATTGAAATAAGTGCTGGAAATTTCAGGCGTGTATGCTATGATGATTAAAAAACAAGATTTGTCCTTAAAAATTCTCAAAATTTCCATTCAGAGAATACTTTTGGACTTTGCCTGTTGAGCTGACAGACAGCTGTGAAATTGCCCCAAGCTTCCTATTGATTCCTATCCTATCCAATGTACTACTATATTGATTTTCTCTTTCATTTGTTAAGAGTTACTATCATCTGATTGTAGGTACTTTGCATACAGAAGCTCCTAGTTTACTACCAGTTGTGACCTGCAGTTTACTACCGGATGTGACCCCTCCCAGGCAATACACTTTCTTGGGGTGGAGATGTTGACTGTGTCCGAAGTTTGTTCCTGGCATCAGGACACACTTGGGCTCCCAACTGCTGGAGGGCATACTCTACAGTCTGCAGCGCAGACATCAGGTCCTAACTGCCCAGGAGCGCCTACCATCTCAGGACAGCTGGGGCGAAGTTTGCTAATTGGATGAGTTTTGAAGCTACTGGTGTTTCATCAAGATTTAACTCAGTTTAGCTTTCTAGAAATGTAATCACTTGAGTTACTATTTCAATTCAAATGCAAGTAGTGGGGCCTGCTGGATTATAACTGCTATCAAGAAGATAAGAATAACTGGCGCTTATCGAGTAGTTGTGTGAGCACATAAGCACTTTCATAGTAAAGGATCTCATGTGAGTCTCACAGCACTTTGATGTACGGCGTACCATCATTACCTACATTTTAAAGGCAAATAAATTGATATTGTGAGAGATTAAGTCACAGTGAGATCTGCAAAACTAGTATATCTCCCAAGGTTTGTATTTCAAAAGTCTTTAGAATTTTAGTAGTCTGTTGGCTTTTGCCAATTCAGATTGAAAGTCACAAGAAGGGTGCATTCAGTGGAGAATCAAGTGTTCACTGGAGATGGGGTGTTTGGGTTCCCATCTGGCTGCTTCATTTACTCCTTTCTCCTCCTTTATAACCCAGGGATTGTGGTAAAATCAAGCTCTCGGGTGGTAGGAGTTCCATGAAATGTTGGGTGAACGGTGCTTAGCAAAGTACTTCAGATACACTTAGGCATTACAAAATGTTATTATGTAACACGATGAGCAGACTTTTATTCCTTGTACTAACTTTGGGAGAATGGCAGAGGTCTGAAACAGGCAAATTCTCTAAGACCTCACTGATTCAAATCTTTGTCATTTTGTTACATTTTACTTCGTACAGAAAAGTGTATTCTTTGACTCATGGGCCCTGATGGAATTTGCATATTTCTGGTAATCCTGAAAGTTCTATTATTATGCTCTCAAATCAAATTACATCAAATCAACACTATACCTGATTGGTTGTCAGACAAACAAGGGCTTTTTAATTTGAGAGGTGGCCCCGAGAAGCCTCACTGTATTATACTCTATTATAAATATTGAAAATATTTTGAATGAAAAATGCTACTTTCACATTGAAATGTGGAAATTAAGAGTTTACTTTTATTCCTGTTTATTTTTATTAAGGCTTTATATTTTATGCCAGTTAAAATTTACTTTTTTAGAAATAGGTGTGTTGTTGTAGTTGACTCCCCAGGGAGAATAAAGAGCTACTTTAGGGGCCGGGGATTTAGCTCAGCGGTTCAGTGGCCTGCCTTGCAAGCGCAAGGACCCGAGTTCAATCCCTGATACCAAAAAAAAAAAAAAAAAAAAAAGAACTACTTTACCTAAAGTGGAACTATTTGCAAACTATTTAAATATTCAGAAGGGTGGTCTAATATTTAAAACATGTAGACATACTGTATTATACGGCATCAGATTCATCTTAGTAAAAATGTTCTGAGATATTTTGAATCAGAATCAGACTTAACATCTTTTCTCAATTGCCCAATATAAATTCATTTAGTTGACATAACTAAGAAAATTGTCAAGATTTTTCTATAGTTTGTTGAAAGTTAAGCTAAAACAACATTTCATGGACTATATAATAACATTTAAAACCACCACTTCATGAAATAAGAAAAGAAAATTTCATCTAATTAGGACAGTTTATGGACTGGATTTAATTCTTTAGTCATTAGTTACAACAACAGGATTTCTTTTTTTTCCTTCCTGGAATATAGTTTAGTGATAGCAAATTCTGAGGTAAGACCAATGCCTCTGGGAAAACAATCAAAGAGAATACCTCCAAGTTTAGTTTTTAATCACTCATAAACTATTGAAAGTTGGTTTGGCTAGGAAGAACCTGTCTCACCAAACATGTTTAACTTGATTCCAAACACCGCATATGAACTGAAAAGCAGAGTTAGATAGTTATGACTTCACTTAACCCTGAATCCAAATGACCGTTTCTGTCCTAAAACTGAAGTCAGGCTCCCACATACACACACCCATGGCATTTGGCCAGGAAGGGCTGACGGTGTAGGTCAGGAGCAGCAGGGCCAGATGGGTGGTGAAGATTCTGTTGAAGTTTGTGTTTCTCTCAGCTCAACTCAGGAGCCTCTCCTCTCTGAGGGAAGCAGCCAAAGAGGCTAGCTATTCCGGCTGGCCCCATAGTAGGAATTTTAACATCCAAAAAGCATCAAAATGTGTTCTGGTGTCTTCAGTCTCTAAGCCTTGAAGCCCAAACCATCCCATAAATGGAAAAGACATCTGGCCTCACTCCTTTCTTGCTGCACTCGTGGTGGAGAGGGTGTCTAATCCCTCCAAACAGTGTTTGGGTTTTCAATTTTATCTTTCCATATGAGTCACGGTTAGTGCGTAACACTGTGACGTCATTAAATTGACCTGACCAGTGCAGCAGGACTGACCTCCTCAGCGCAGGACAGATTGTTAAAAAGAAATGTGAACATTTATTTCTTCTTCCATGTGAACACCTCTTTTGGGATGCTATGAGGTAGATTCCTGAGGCAGATTGGTGTGCACACTCCATCCTCCCTCTGTCTGGATCTCTTTTCCCTAGATGCCAATTTTTTCCCAAGGTAGAAAGATGGTAAACAATGAATGTTTAAATTAAAAAAAAAATACAGTGAAAGACGCATTGCCATTAGCTCCCTTGGCAATATCCCCCGTTGCTTCAGACACGTGCATCCCATCATTCTTGCCACTTTCCAAAGCAGTGCTGAGTCCTCCTCCTCTACAAGGTCTGATCAAAGTGGCAGGGAATGCTGTGGCCAAGTGCCGTCTAACAGAAGGCAAGCTGGTGAGGACATCATGGTGTTCCCACTCACTCCATTCCTCCAATCCGCCCCTCTGGGACTTCTGGCTTCTCCAGAAAGTCAAAATAACCGTAAGAGGAGAATGTAAATCTGCTCGGGACCTCAAGACAGCCATGGCAGTGGGGCTAGAGGCCCTCATAATAAAGGGCTTCCGGAACTGCTTCAGATAGTGGCAAGAAAGAGGATAAGTGCACTCCAAATTAGGGGAAGGGGTATTTTGAGAGGGATTAATGTAAATGTATTTTTATTGTAAGAAATTTAAAAAATTTATATATTCACTGCACTTATCAAGCACATATCACACACGAGACAATATAGTGCTTTGATATTAACATAAAATGATATAAAATGAAGTAAAACCTTAAAAAGCATTTTGTATAATCAGGAATGTTTAGAGTCATGAACATATTTCCACTGCCTCACATACATTAACAGTTTATAACAAAAATATTACAGTGAAGACAAAAATCTATTTAGTTTGAGAACCAATGTTTCTTAGAACTGTTTGATTAGACTCCTTTTTAAATTACCTATTAAAGTTCCTCTGAACTAGTATTCCAAGGAACTCAGTTCAGGAAATATCATTCTTTTGGTGCATACATTTTCTTCACTTCTTAACACCTCTGAAATTAGGATGTTGTCTTAGGTTTGATGATGTCTTGGGTTTAATGAAACACAGCATTGCCCCATCAGCTTGAATGACAACTATGTGTGCTGTATTAGTGTAATTTGGCTCCAGGTGAGAGTGACAAAACCCAAAAATGTCAGTGATAGAAATAAGACAGAAATTCATCGCTGAATAGCCAATCTGGATGGCCCTGCTCCGGAACCATGCTCGGGAACCGTGCTCTGCAGTGTTGAATAATCGAGCTTCTTTCTTTACGTCGGAGATAATACTGCTGCATGTGGATCTGTTGTATCCACTCCTGCTCCCAGGAAAAAACAACAGATCAAGAAAGAAAAGTTTAAGCCGAGTGTCAGTTGTATTAAATTGCTCAGAAGCTTTCCAGTGACACTTTTGCTTACAATACAGAAGTTTAACAGTGGCATTAGAAATCCAGGAAATCTGAGAAATGCAGTACTTTTCTGAGCCCGCGTGAGCTGAGATAAAAATTCTTATCCTACATGAAAGAGGAGCGCTGGAGAAGAGCCAGCAGCTGCCGTGACTGCAGTCATTTAGTGCTGATATCGACAAGGTCACTAAAACTTCCTCTGCAATTAGAAACCAGAGAAATAGCAAAGGATAAGTCCTTAAATATTAAGGCATGAAGGCAGCTATTGTTGAAGATCAGAAATTCATTTAACCACTGGCAACCACAAAAGTAGCCTTTTCCGCCCCAATATCCAATAATTCAGGAACAGTTTTTTGATAGTCACGGCCACTGACCTCAGGCTGTGAAGATCAGAACACACTGATTTCCTCTGTCGCTTTATTTAATACACAAGTTTCTTTAATTATCCCAAAGTGGAGAGATTGCAACTGGGGAGAAAGGAGCAACACACATAATGGGTGTAGTCTATGTGGAGACTCCAGTAAGAATGTACAGTATTTATACAGAGGTTCTCAGAAAATTAATCAGTTTCTCTCAACCCGTTCTGTGGTCAGATTCCCATCAGCATGTTTTTAAACTAATAATATAAAAGATTTTAAGTGGCTATATGGAAGAGTGGAAATGTTGCTTCAATATAAATTTGTATCTTGCCTATCTTGTTGAAAACACTAATTTTGGAATTCCTGTCCATCTTAGCTGTCCTTCTTCATTTGCTTTATTAGTTCTTCTTTGGAAAGAAAATGAAGTAAAATTTTAAAAATATATCATTCCTTGAAGTCAGACTTCTATTACTAATTCTTAAAAGCTATTAATTTGTGATACTTACCTTTACTTATAAGCTCTAAATAACATTCTTACTTCACAGAGTAATATAATTATGGAATATTAAAACTTAATCCGCATTTTTAGATTAGATTTTTGATATAAAACTATCTAAAAAAATTACAAGATAATATGGGCCTGATGGACTTCAAGTCCCAGAGACTCATTTTTAGGAAGAGTAATATTAGATAAATGATAAAAATTTATAAAATTCTAATAGGTAAATTCACCTGGTTTAGTGAATTGTTAAACATGTTTTCAATAAAAATGTCATTTTGTTTCTCTATTGCCTTCTCTTAAGAAGGATTTCTCGTTCTTATTTTTTATTTTAAAAAACAAATCATAAAAGCAAAAAGTGCTTGTTGATGTGATAACTCACCTTAATGTGCCAAATTAACACATATTTAAAAGATGTGGTCTGCCTGTAGGTCCCTTATTGACATCAGATGAGTATCTTCCTCACACAGAGCACTGTGGTAGGCTTTTCAGTGAGCAAATCATATTGAAAATAACTCACCCCTAGCAAAATGTGTTTGAAGTAATAGTGATACCTTTATTGTTTCAACAGAGCAGAAAGGATATATTCTAGCTGTGCTATTAAATTGGAATTCAAAAATGATAAAATATTGACTGCCTGCACCTGTTTTTCTAGAAAATTAAGGCAACTTAATGTGACAAATACCTAAATGTGCAGTGATGGGCCAGTAACAATAATAACATTGGAAGGTAAGAGTAATGTAGAAGATGTAAATTTGTGGCCTGCTTAAAAAGACATCTTTGGAGACTTAGTCTGTACCTCTGCACCTGTCCTACTCAGAGCAATAAATGCTCTCTACTCCAACTCTTGGCTTCTCCAGCGAGATCCGATGATAGCATTAGAATTCCCAGTTACTCTGTGCTTCAGACTCTACTCTGCTCCTAGGTTACCTGTGGACACCAAGACATCTGCCTGATGCTCCACCACTTTTTTTTTTTTCATCAGTGAACTAAGCAGTGTTGTTAGTAATGAATTCGGGGTTTCATGACCTCCTTATCAGGTGGCAATCATTCTCTAAACCAAAACTGAATACTTCCATTAGTATTTTCATTTATAAATGATATAAATGATATGATATCAATGATATATATGATATAAATGATACCTTTTCAAGCCGACACATAAATTTCAAATGCCTTTGCTTTAGACCTTGAGGCTATTATGTACCTGTCAGAATTACTTTACAAGATATCATATCCACTGTGCCTCTCTTCAGTGCACAGTCAGAAGACTTGTAAGTAGTTGAATTTTTTTTTACCTTTTACAGACACTTCTGCTATGAGGCACTGCATGCATGTATTGTGACAGAAATTGAGTGAGCTCTTAAGATTTCTAAAACTCGGTTCTACTTCCAGGAGCAAATCTCACTTATCTGAGAGCCCCTAGCATATCATCTTCTAGGTTTTAGATGTGAGTAGCTTCCTTTATGAAGAAAGAGCTAATGCTATTTTCCCAGTTACATCACGTAGGGCTACTGAGAATACAGGAAAATAACGAGAACTGAAACACCAGGAAGACTTTAAAGCACTCTGAGGATGATAACGGTGTGGGAGCATGTGTACATAGGTGGAGAAAATTTGCAAACAAATTCTTATTTGGTTTGAGTCCTGGTTATATGGATGTGAACAGCATCACTACTTAGTAAGATCTATAAAATAATAGGGCATGGTTTCTAATTTTTTGAGACAAGAACAGAGAAAATATAATATTTAATTTGCCTTTTTTTGGAAAGACAGAAGCCAATATTGACTCTGTCAGGACTGTAACATGGGCTTCTAAGACATCATGGTATTGTATATTTAGTATTACAAACTTCTTAATCTCATATTTAATCTTTGAGAATTTTATAAATTCATTTCAGTTTCATCTCCCAAAACTGGTATAAAATTGATGTGTCTTGGGGGCTCCAAATATGTTAACAGGTAGTTGCTACAAATGCATCCTTCCAGGGTTGCTTTCACTACAGAATCACATGGATTCTTCAAAACAAGAGGAAAAGAGAAGTAAACAGTCCTCATGAGGACAAATTCCAGGGGCCTCTCGTGGTCTCTCATGTGAATGGGAAAACTCTGAGTCAAGGTAACAGAAACACTGGCTTACATTACTGGACTGTACAGTAAAAAAGAAAAAGCCTTAGGGTGTTGTTCTAATGATTTTATATTAAGTTATGCTTCCTCACATTGCATTGTTGTTTCTAAATAGTGAAGTGGAAATCCTATGCAACTATATTTTATTCAGAAATTTGTATGTTCCAAGTAATTAGTAATCACAAACATTAACGGGGACAACGATAGATGCTCACAAGGGAAGTTGGGATACGTCTGAGAAAAATCTGACATTTCTGCTTTTCTTCCCTCTTAGGCTGCTTTACCTGCCAAAACCGACCTTCCAGAGTTTTTTATTGCTTCTTATAAGTGGCCAGGATGGACTCATGGCCCACTGGACCAAAAAAACTGTGCAGCATCCTGGGCATTTTCCACTGCAAGTAATAAATAAAGTCATTTCCACTACTTCTTTATAAATTCACCCTTTGGCCTTAGCCTCTGAGAGAATAATTATAAAGTTTTTAAAATTAGAACTTTTAATAAATTAAAATAAAATCCAGCCAGAGAAAGAAGCCTGAAGACTATCATTCTTAGTAAACAAACAAACAAAAAAAAAAACTTCTTTTATACTACTTTTATAAAAGTTCACAAGTCCAGTCAATAAATTACTCAAGTTAACCCATGATTTGATCTCCAGAATAATTCTCAAAGGAGTACTAGCTGTATTTCAGCAATGAAACAGAACCTGACATGCTGATGACTGGCCACTCTCAAGGATTTCCATCAAGCTGTCTTTGAGGTTTGCAGATAAGTCCAAAGAGTCTTTTGCCGCGTGAGATAAGCATGTAGGCTCTTGGAGAAGCCAGCTCTAAAGGGCAGCATGCTAATCCTTTTGTCTACAAATCAGTACATATAGTGTCTGCCTGCTCTTCACAGAATTACCTTTGGCAAAACCTAACACATTCACCTGTTACTTCTGCCCTATTCCTACCCCTTTAGTACACATACATTCCTACTATCTGGTGTTCATCTTTACTGCGTGAAGGATTCATGAGGTACTTTCTGAGCCTTGCTTCATGATACAGGTAGAGAGAGATTTCATCAAAGGAATTAGTTGCTGCTTTGTATTTACGTGGATAATGAGTTATACCTCCTAAGTCACATAGAAGAACATTGCCATTATTTAAATGAATATTTCTGAAGATGTTTAAGGGAAGGTGTTAGTGGTGAAACCCTGAGAGCAGCTTCCCAGGCTAATCTGAAGGGTGCTTTTGGTGTCTTCCCAGCTCCAGTCAGCACAAGGCTGCATCTGGATTGTCTTCTTACCTCAGTTGCTATAGCACCAGAGATTGTTCTCAACCATTCTAGGGTTTTGGAGGACACACTGTTGCCTCTTGTGTATTTATTATGGTATATCAGGTTTATTCTCTTTGTGTGCTAAATAAAGAAAAGAATAAGATCTAGAAAATTTGCCTGGAAGTAGTTAAAATGTTTAAGAGAAAGCAAAAGAGTAGAAATGGAATAAATAAGACATAAACACACACACACACACACACACACACACACACACAGAGTTATGTCACAAAGTAAAATTCAAGCTGTATATCCGAAGCTGAAAAAATAAAGACATTTGGAATGGTGGGAATGATACAGGTCTCATGGTAGCTTTGGAGACAGAATAAAACAAGTTAAAGAGCCTGTCTCAGAGGTAGTGCCCAATACAAGTTCTCAAAACCAGAATGGAAAATGATTGGTTGTGTTGCCATTCTAAAATCTTCTGGCTGTTTTGAAATATCTCAAGGGAATTTAGACGGACCTTTTGCTGAGATTCAGAGATGTTTACATAACTAAGAACAACACATTGCACAACAGGAGGGCTGAAAACACGCAGCCTTAGTTGAAATTCAGATTTATGGGGCTGGAAGAGACATTAGAGGTCTCCTTCTTTGGCCTTCTGGTCTTAGAAGGAGGCTCAGGTAGGTGAAGTGACTTACCTGACACCAAAGAGTTGCAGTGTTGGATATGCTACAGAGTGCCAGGCTTCCAACTAATTCACTACTGTTTTCTGTTACATTCCAAAACCATTTTGTGAAAGAAATAAGTTGCACTAACATTTTTTAAAATTTATATTTAATTCTAAATCCTTGTACTGAGTGTTAAAGTATCAGGCAATCACTACTGTCTCATTATGTAGCCCAGCCTGACCTTGAACTCTTAGCCATCCTCTCATTCAGACTGCAGAGGGCAGGGATTGCAGGCATGCGCCACCATGCCCGGCTAGTCTACTTTCTTTTAAGAAGCAAGGAGTTATTCTCTTGAGAATGTCAGAGATGACAATATAAAGCAATTTGTCACTATGAAGTGTATTCTAATAAAATAATAGATGGGAATCAAGGATGAAGTGAGAAGTTATAGATTTAACACACATGAAACATCTAGCATGTGTCAATTGCACTACAGAATTGCACAGCTGCTACAGTTAAATAAAAACCATATACAGAGATACATATGTAAATGAATTCTTTTAAAATGAAAAAGTTAAATTGATACCCCGGAGAGTCTGATGCACAATTTAATGAGAAAAAAATCAGTAACATTCACTCAAAAAAAAAAAAAATAGAAGAAAGGTTGTGACTTTGTTGCCTTAAATTAAAATCGAAGAACATAGTCTCTTGGGTTTAGCCTGAGATTAAACATCAAAAACTGTTCTAAGTGATGAATAAAAGCATAAATCTGTCACTGAAAAAGTATCCATCTTAACTTTTTCACGTTCTTATCATTTGTGTTAGTTTATTGTGAAAGCATGATCAAAACAAGTACATGCATTGATTTCTACTGCTGGTTTGTTTCCTAGCTTATTATTATATGCACTGTGTCTCTCGTTTCTTGTTCAGTTGCTGTGATTTCTAATGCTGCAGTGTTTGTAACTTAGCAAGTGCTTAATAAATGTATTCAGGAAAGGAATAAACTTGCACAACAATAGGATGTTATTTCAACTGATGGGTAGAAAATTTGATCATAAAAGTGAATATATATGTAACTGATAATATTAATTAATATAGTTTCAACAGTTAATTATAATTATAATATTTGTATTTTTAGCTGTGTATAACATTGTATACCACCAATTACATATACAGGACAGTTATATGTAGTAACATAATACATAAGCATAATTACATAACTATAACTAATAATATGCTCACTTTTTTGCATATATTTGTATACAAAAGATGAATTCTAATTCTATTGAAATAAAAGTGAGGTAATGATTCACAATCATATTATGAGCATAAAGGTGAGCTATGTAGATTTGTAATGGTATGAATTAGCTGAAGAATGATCTCCTGGGTAGTTACATTAGATAAAACCAAATCTAATTAATTCTAACATGGATGTGTGATCAGTTTTCCCGACTTCCCCCGTTTTCTTACATTCAATTAAAAGTATATTTATTCATAACAATATGCAGGACCTTTTTTAAGTGCAGGAAATAGAATTATAGGTATCATGTGGTCTTGCCCTCAAAGAAATGTGCCACTTAACAGGTTTCTTAATGAAGAAGATGAAAGGAACAAGGGACTAGAACAGTCTTTAAAGTCGAAAAGTTACCGGAGCAGTACGAATACAGGACAGACACGATGACATTACCACACAGTTGAACTGGCTGGAATACTTAGATGAGTTGGTGACATTTGGCTCTAATTTTAAATTATGTTTTGAAAACCAAATTAGTTTTGAAAACTAAGGTTGAAAAAAAAAAAGACTGTGTAAATGGAAAGTGCCTTGCACAGTTTGAATACTAATCATTATTCTACTTGGAACAGGCGTGGCTGCTGACCGAATAGCGATTCAGTCCGACGGCCGGTACACTGCCAACCTCTCCCCTCAGAACTTGATCTCTTGCTGTGCCAAGCACCGTCACGGATGCAATGGTGGAAGCATTGATAGGGCTTGGTGGTACCTGAGAAAACGTGGGTAAATAGCGGCTCCACCTGTATTTCTGGGATTCTTATGGGTTCTGCCTTCAGTGAGGACAAATCAAAATTATCTAAGCTTTTTATTTTAAAAAATCTAGGCTGGGGATGCAGCTCAGTATTTGCTGAGCATATGTGAGGCCCTGGGCTTGATCTCTGACATTACACACACATACAAAAAAGGAACAGGGGGGAAAAAACCCCTGAAAAATATTTATATAAACATAACTCAGTGTGACATTTAAATATATATTTTATATCAATTGAGATTAAAGATTATTGGAAGTAATTATTAAAGAACACATACCTTTCCAGATAAAAGCATGTGACTATTAACTTGAAGACTCAAGTAAACATTTTCTTCTTGTTCCTCCAAGCTGAATGAATGTATTGGTTCCTCACAGAGGGAATAAAGTAATCAGTGTTGTTGATACTTCTGTTATGCCTTTTAACTACCCAAGCTGAATTCCGGAAAACATTACATTAAAAATTTGAAGAATAAAATAAAGCATTGTATAGTTGCCTCAGCTCATTAGTGTCATGAGTTGCTCCTGTCCCATTGGGTAAAAACAGACAAAGTGCCTGTCCTTGCTCTCATGTGGCCTGATGTTCGCCCACCATTTCTATGGGGACCTTAAGAGCTCATCTACCCAAGCAATGAGCTGTTAGCCGAGCAACTGTGGCTAGAGACCCTTGCAACTGTGGCTAGAGACCCTTGGCTTTCAGAGTGGCCCTCTCCATGCTCTGAGTCTGCTGAGAAACAGATGCAATGAAAGCTAGAGTGTACCAGATAGTGATTAGTGGCTATAGATTTGAAAAATTATTTTCATGTATTTTGCCTAGTAGTTTTTTAAATGAGGAACTTTGGCTGGTGTAAAATTATTCGGCTGACTTCAGTTTTGTTCTATGAAAAAAATAAAAGCTTTTTTAGAAGATTAAAAATACAAATTATCATTGAGATAAAACTAAATCTCACTGTATTGGTCTGTTTGGGCTAACATAGCCTAAGATAGCACTTTCAGGAGTCTGCCAAGTCCAAGGCCAAGTAACTGATGGACTCAGTCCAGGTACTGGCTTCCTGCCCAGCTTGCATGGGTGAGAGAGAGTGCTGTGTACATTTCTCTCCTTGCAGTGCACTCACCCCAGCCATAAGACCCCAGTTGCAGGGTCTCATTTAAACTTAATCATCTCCCAGAGGCTTAAGTCCAGATATCATCCCGCAGGCATCAGGGCTCCAATGTATGAATTCCACATTAACACTCTGAAGTCCATAGACCCTGTGTTTAAAGCAATGCAGTACATTCAATAAAGATTTTAAAAGCGTTGGGTCTTTTAAATAACTGTTTTTATCATGCTCCAGCTAAAACTCTTTATTCCATTGGATGCTATTACAACTTTAGTGAACACTTTCATGGGCATTTCAGCATCGAATAGTTGATGATCTAATTCCATGATTTTACTTCTCTTACTACTTCTAGATTTAATAGGATTGTGTTAGGTTTGTAACTAAATATTTTATACTTTGCTATGTCTGGTTTCAAAGTCAGAAATCAAAATAATTTTTATTGCTTCTTGGCCTTTTGGCTTTGATCAAGTGTAGAAATAAAAATATTTTTTTATATTTTGAACGATGTAGATAGTTGATAACTCACTAACTTTTTAAGTTACGCATGATATAAGTAATTTACTATTTCCCCCAAAGTATCATGAACTACAGACATATCCACAAAACAAGCTGCTACCTAAGCAACTACTCACGGCCACTTACATGGTTTAATCGAGGAGAGCTCTTTCCTGGGCATTGACTCCTCCGCTGCAGCACAGGCCCTGTGAAAATAAAATCTCACTTTGTTGTTTAAAAATTCAATATAGCAACAACTAACCTTAATGCTAAAAATTGTATGATTTGTCAGAATATCCTACCTGTGAATAATCAAATCAGTTGCCTTCTCATTTTAATTTGCCTCTTCTACATTATTATTATTATTATATATGTACAGTTTGAAGGAGTCCTTCCCCTACTAATAAATATGAACTTAGACTTTATTTCTGGCCACTTTTCATCTTTGGGAAATGATACTCAGCAGATAGAATTATGTATCAAAATAAAATCTATAATGCAGAAAGAAAGGGGCAAGGAGGAGCGTAATGTCATTGAGCTGCTGTGTTGGAGTTGGCATTTTCAAAGCTATGCCATGTGTAGGTAATCAGCATGCTATATGAAAGTTCAATTTAGTAAGGCTGATTATAGATAAGTTATTATAGCACTTTACTAAATAATATCTTCATTTGTTTTCTTATTTCACATAGACTGGTATCTCATGCATGCTATCCACTTTTCAAAGATCAAAACTCTACCAATGGATGTGCTGTGGCCAGTAGGCCTGATGGACGGGGGAAACGGCATGCCACAACACCATGCCCCAACAACATAGAGAAATCTAACAGGATCTACCAATGTTCTCCTCCATACAGAGTCTCTTCCAATGTAAGTCTAAATGTCAGGAACTATGGTTGGTAAACATCCTCAGACATATAGAGCTTTGCTATTATCAATACTAATTAAAAATGATTTTGAAACCCAAAGGAGCTTTGGCAAATTTTAACTTTGGAATTTGCCAGTATGACCTAAATTAAATGTCATGTTGTCATATATAGCTTTTGATGTCTTAAAATGTGCATTGAAGACTTTCAGTTTTGGTAAGGTCTGTAATGTTCATATTATTAGCAATGTCAAAGATTGGCTTAAATTCAAAGAACACCCAAGGAAATAGATTTTTAATTATGCTTTACAATGAATATGTGTATATGTGCAGTAACTGGAAAATTAAAAGCCACATCAAACTCTTTTCAGTGACTTTTTGTGGCATTCATTACTTTTCATTGAATTTTTGTTTTACTCCACAGAGTAAATGAAGCCATAATGTACAAAAGACTTTTATTCGCATTTGTCATGTTAAATAAAGCCTATGCTAACCATCTCACTCTTTTCTGGCCTGCTCATTTTCAAACTATCTGAAGTTTCAGCAATAGCAAGTCATCTCCAGAGTATGATCCAGTATTTTTATGATGTCTCCTAGGCCTTTCACCAGTTGGTTTTGTTCTTCTTCTTCTTCTTCACAATTCATGCCTTGCCAGCATTTATCCTCTCTCTACCTCTTCATAATGCTCCTGACAAATGAGTCTTGTTTCTGTTCTCCAGATACAATGTGCCTTTTCATACTTCTCTGCTAAGCTATGTGCTAATTCCCATAACTGACCCCAACGGCTGTCCAACCATTCCAGATGGTGAAATGCCACAGGAGTGTCAAGGCCAGGGCAGAACTTCATCTCTGTTAAATTTTCCTTGACTCCTAGGTGGGATTAATTTCTCTTTTATTTGCATCTATGGGAATTTATGTCTGTCTCTGTAACAAAATATATTATACACTAACGGAGCTAATTGTGTTATCATCTGCCTATACCACCAAAATCTAAAGACCCTGAGGCTAGGTACAGGGTCTATATATGTTTCTGTAGTAGTTTCTAGTCCACAATCTTTGTTCAGTGTGCAAAGACAGTGAATGATTGGAATCTACTGGATGCCTCTCTACTGGAAAACATTGGGTAGCAACACAGAAATATTTATAGAGAAGTTACCAAGGGAACTCATAAAACTCACTTTGGATATTTCTTGTGATCAAAAGATTGGAGGTTTTAGCTCCTTCACTAATGTGATATTTCACCCTTGAATATATCAAAGCATCACTAAGAGTAGAATGCAAGTGGTCAAGTCACTGTAAGTTTATAGCACCTACACTGATTGTATACCTGCTGATATTGTAAACCAAACAGCAATTTGCTATGTCTCGTAACAATGAGGCACTCACTGTTGCTTTTTCACCCAGGAAACACAGATAATGAAAGAAATAATGCAAAATGGACCAGTTCAAGGTAAGCTTGGATGAAATATGGCTCTGTCTTACTCATTTCTTTAATAAACAACATTATTGTGAGCTCATGTTAGAGGACTTTAACAAAAGACCAGAACTTTTAGTTAGTAGTCCTCTTAAGAGTTCAACAGTACTAAAGTCAGTGTAGTTATGGGAGTTTTACTCATCTCATTATATCATTAGCTGACATTTTATTTTAAGAAGATAGACTCATTTATGAATTGGACTGTTAAATATTAATGACACATGGATTAAAAGATGCTAAGTCTCTTCAAAGTGACCATGCACCAAAGAACAGTCAAACTTGAAATACCAAGAGATTAATTTGCAATGAAGCTCACTTTACTCATTTGATCATATGTGAGAATGGACCGGAATGGCAGATATTTAATTATCTTTTGTTTAAATGGATTAAGTAAGAAATTGAAAGACTTTGGGAATAATAGTGGAAACAAAGTACATACATTCCTTTTTCAATTAGCTTAAGAGAAATCAAGCCAGACATGGTGGCACGCGCCTGTAATTCCAGCACTTGGTATGCTGAGGCAGGAGGAACATTGTGAGTTGGAGGCCAGCCTGGGCTACATAATGAGTTCAAGGCTAGCCTGGACTACATAGTGATGGGGAGGGGGATAGATCAAATCAAGTAAGACAGTGTGACTTTTCTTTTTTGCAAAGGGATTTTTGAATTTAGCCAAATTTGTAAATGTGTTATTAGGAGTAAAAGAACTAAAACTAATAAAGTTACACAGTGAATTGCTATGCGATGAAGTTATGTTTAAGATATCATATCCTCTAATAGTTCCTTTCATTTAGTACAGAATTTTGTCTTGTACAAGCAACATGGGTAAGGATAAATTCACAGAATGTATTGCCTATATGAACCCTGCCTGAAAGGACAAACCCATTGAGGTATAAAATGGGAATTCAGATTGTGAACTTGGAGGGGCTCTCAAATATTATCCATTCGTAGAGTAAAAAATTAACCCAAATTAACCTGAAACATTTGATATATAGTTAGAAAAACAACTGCCCAGTTTTTCTTTCTTTCTGAAGGCTAATATAATTAATATTCACTCCATAGCAGGAACTTTGGAGTTTATAGTAATTGTATTGAGATAAATCACTTACTTCCTTCAAAGCCAAAGTTTACACTAAACATGTCTTGAATTTAAGTTTTAAAATCCTGGATCCTTATACAAAATCTGAAATAAGTGAGAAGCTTTCATTCTCCATACATCTGTACAATTCATTGACTGTTGTGTGTGAGGAATTCATGTCTACTTCCATTAAGCACGACAGATATGATGAATCTGAAGGCATAGGGACATCTGAACTCAGGCCTAAACGCAAAGTTCTGGCTTTGGCATTTGTTACTTCAATGAATTTGGAGCTTCACTCAACTCTTCTGAAACTTTAAATCACTGTACTACTGTTTCTGTTTTTTCCCCCTCCATCTTTTTAGCCAGTCAACAAAAACTTAAATCATGACAATTTAAAGTTGGGAATACCTTAGGCATACTTTATGGCTACACACATAGATATTCACAATATTTCACACAATTAAAAAAGGAACAGAAAAAATTTCAAATCAATAAAAGAAAGGATGCAGATTATTCAACACCCATTCAGCAAAGCTTTGTCTTCCTGGCAGCCTGATCCAGGGCCAGGATAGAGCCACAGGGAAGGCTGCTGCCTGCTGTCTGCATGCAAATTCCAATTCTGCACGATGGGTGACTGCAACCTCCCAAGACTGAAGTTGCCCTGCAGTGGCTTAGATGGTTATATGCTTGTTATTATATATATGTTCGACAATCTAGTGTGGTGTCAGAAGCTGAAGCAGGTCATCTTCTGACCCGCTAGTTGGCAGTGTTTTCGGCAGTGAAGAATGTATTTTATTCATGGTGTTAGAATAGAGCTGAATCAGACAAGTTTAAAGATTCAGTGGTTCTAAAGAAAAAAAAAAATCTCTAGTCATATTGGGATATTTTCATGAATGGATAGAATGCTGTTTACTTTTTTTCTGTAAATGCAGCATGATGGCTGGTGTTTTGTTGACTGCCTAAAATATGGCATGTCTCTTGTCTCAGTACAAAAGGTGTCAAAGGAATAGAACACTGAATGAATAACACTGCACACTCATCTAAAATCAGTGGGATTAAAAATAAGCATAGGTAATGGAAAGAGAATAAAAGCAGAGATCTGCAGAGAGTGTAGTTGTATAAATTCTTAAAAATCCTTTGGGAGGATGTTTTAGTAGATAAAGACTTCACCTCTTTTAAGATTATTTGAACAGCAGTGGAAAAGACACGGAACATTAAAAATGAAATAAATGGAATATTAAAAAGTTATAGTTGACTTTCAACTTTTTTATTTTAGAATCTACGGAATGCTAGTGACCTTAGTTCCTGTTTCATTTCAAATGCAGGTTGAATTAAGATAAACAAACATTGCTCATAGTTATCAAGATTCCCAAATGCAAAGTCTCAGTTCATGCCTTCCAGAAGAGCAGTTTAAAGTCTTTACCCTGAATTTCCCATGCAGTTCCACAAGCAACACATAACACAGAAAAGAAGTTATCTGGTTGAGGAACAAAAAAAGAGCTTTATAGAGTACAAACTCAACTTTTCAAAGAACACAACACTGGATTTGCTCCTCAGGTGGGAGATGAAGTCTCCAGCACCATATATTTTTTTTTGCCAAGGATTGGTTTTTTATTCAAACTCAGGAAAGGTTTGCATCTCCTTATAAGGATTAAGAGCAATTCCTGGTATCCTTTGTGGCAGGGACACCTTCCTCTGCTGGTTTACTTGAGGTTGTAAAAGGCTTGTGGTAAAGCACAGGTAAGGGATGAATGTCCATCACTCACCAACCACAGCTGGCCTTCGCTGCCAGGGCCAACGTGATGAAGACGACTGGTGCATTTTAAAGGTTCAATGTGCACTCATGTAGTGGTCCAAGCAGCTAAAGCTCTTTGTGTAAAACAATAAAATAGTCTGTAACTAACTAAATTAAGTAAGAAAACAAACTAGGCCGAAGTGCAGGATCCAATCTTAGATTCAATTCCTTGCCATTTCCCTGTCAGTTGTTCTGCAAGGTTTCGGGAGGCTTTCAAAGATGATTTTTTAAAACTGTACTATTTGTCCTGTGGGGTTTTATTTTAGCCATAATGCAAGTCCATGAAGATTTCTTCTATTACAAGACAGGGATATATAGACATGTTACCAGCACAATTGAAGATTCAGACAAATATCAAAAGCTTCGGACCCATGCAGTCAAACTCACTGGGTAAGGCAGTTTCTTAAACTTCATTATTTGAAAGATTTGCTTTGTGTTTGGAAAATGAAACTGAAAATAAGACTACATAGTGCATTTAAATACAAGAATTCCCCTCTGTCTGAGAGATTCTGATACAAATTACAAATTATTTAAATCTTACCACTATTTTGTTGTTATTTTAGAGCCCAGTGAAGGCTCACTCAATATTCTAGCAAAGATGATCATTTCTTGCTTCTCCCTTACTTGTGAAGCAAGGAGCTTCATTCCTGTTGAACATGCTTAACCTTATTATGGAGCTGACATCATAATCATCACCTTCTCCTCACTCATCTGAAAACCTCAGCAAGTCAATTCTGAGGTGTCAGACAACTATTTTATGAGATATTTTTCTAATAAGCATCTCTCCTTTATTTTAAATAACCTAACATTAGAATTTCAAAATCATCACATCTTTGAATCTAAGGTACTGCTGATTCTAAAAGTCATCTTGATTTAGGGGATCAGGAATTCAAAAACATGGCACACCATGTAAATGTCCGAAAGGAAAAAATGACTGGAAAATGAAAAAAAAAAAACCCACATAATTTCACCATCCAGAGATAACCTCTGCTGAAATTTTGGAATACTTTATATATCTCTTAGATATATAGCAATAAAAAAGAAGAAAAGGATTCTATAGGAAAATAATATGCTGTAGTACTGGAAATTTTATGACAAGGGAACTTTGCTGATAGAAATATATAAATATGCCAGTCTATCAACATTATTTCAAACACTAAATGTTTTTCTTTTTAATTTTAGTTCTTTGTCTTTCATAGTTTTGCTTACTTAGCATCTCTATATTTTAGAGACCTAAGATAGCTTCCTATTGCTGTTCTTTTTTAAGTTATTTGGGACAATATGCTTGTCTTAAAATAGATATGTGCTTATCACTAAAAAAAAAAAAAAAGAAAAAGAAAAAAGACAGTTAAAAAAAAATCATCCCAAATCCTACACTTAAAAAAATAATTGTTATCATAACAGTTGGTAAAAACATGTCAAATTAGTTCTCTCTTACTTTGTATTGATAAAAAGTTAGAGAGAGAACAAAATAGAAAATATAGGCTATGACATTTAAAAATACTACTGTTCAGGTAAACTTTACTTGAATAAAATGATCTATAATAAAATGTTACAGAGATTGATTAATGTTGATTCTTCATTATGTTATTTCTTAAAAGGATACTTTTCACACATATGTTAAAAGAACTGGAGGCTGGCGTAATAATCTATTTTAAGTATGTATTTTAAAATCTATTGATTTGTTGTCAGCAGATAATTTACCACTATTCTTCTTCTAACCCTTCCTTTCATAAAACATCTAACATTTGTTAGTTATATTATACTATCATTTCTACATATCAAGGTATTTTTAAAAATCTTCATTCTATTCTGAAACCATAATTCAGCAGCCATATGTATTTTCTTGTATATTTTTATAGACTTTGATGATGAGTATCTTTTGATGATAGCTCTCCTATCTTTTAATTTAATTTATAGCAATTATTTGATCAGATGAGCTTTATTTTCCAACAATACTTTTAAATCAAAAAACACTCATAAGAATTGAACTACTTAGGTTCTTGTACATTTGCAAAAGAGATTCTTGTTTTTATATTGAGGAATAATCTAGTTGGTATGAAATTCTGGGATTGTAGAACCATTGGAACTTTGAAGATTTTGTTTCAGGTTTCCAGTATTAAATCTTCCTGAAGAAAATTCTCCAGACAACCTGATGTTTTGTTGCTTTCCAGTGACATGACCTTTTTCTACTTGAATACTTATACTTTAAAAAAAAAAAATCCATAAATTAACATATTCACTTTTTAAAAGTATATATGCTAGGTTTTTTCTAGTTTATATTCTAGGTTTTCTCTCTTTTCCATACTCTCTTATAATTGTGTTTATATTATAATTCTCAGCATACTTGTGTATATAATTTCTCTACTTTGATCCCCCTAGTCCCAGACTTTTATTGTATTTGGCATTCATTCTGCAAATGGCTGTATCTCTGAAATGTTTTTAAAATCTTTCTCATCGTTTGCATTTGGTTGTCTTCTAAAATCTTTCTTCAGTTATATTTAGGTAATTCATGCTTATAATTTCAGTCTATAGCTGAATTGCCCAGATTGCTTGAATAATTCAATTTGAGCTGTATATTCTTCCATTTGACTCTCTTGCATTCTTTTGAGAAATTTAATCGCAAATCTGCATTTCAACTATCTAACTAGCTCTTCTAATTTTCCAGTTCAAAGCCTCTGCTACTCTGAGCCCAGAAGTTCTTGCTATGAGTTCTTCCATTCAACCAGACCACTATTTAACGATGCCTCTTGTTTTGTTTTGCATCTACGCTTCTGTAGGTAAAATATCATGGCACATCTTTATAATCACTCAGTCACATATGCCCTGGACTTGTTTGTTCCTTGCTCGATATCAAATTAGCTTGGCAAAACTTCAATTTCAGTTCAATTCAAATCATTCTGTTTTGTATCTGCAAATCTGCATCTGAACAAAATTGGAACTTTTCTGTTCTCACTTTGCAATGACAAATTTCAAGTTGATGTCTAATATGACAAGGTAATCATGTCCTGAGTTCTTGACCTGTTTTTTTCTCTCGCTTTTTAATTGATTATTTCAAAACCTGTCCCCTTTTCTCAGTATTTCCCTCCTCTTGCTCTTAGAACCCTGTGTTCCACTTCACTGATAAGACTAAAGGAATCAGAAAATTCTTCCTGCAATCACAGTGCCTCCTATGAGCATACACTTCCTTATAATCTTTCTTTGAGCTCTTACTAAAGTGAATCATCCACATCCTGTCTAAATTTGTCTCTTATGTTGTTCACCCAGTCCCTCTCAACCATTCGGAAATGCACAGAAACAATTTTCCCCTTTTCCTTCTTTGTAATCTAAAATTTTCTTTTATTAATGTAGTTATGTCTCACTTCGAAACAAAAGTAAAAACAAAGGAGAGTGAGAAAGAAAGCAAGACAAGGACAAAAGAATTATTTTCTCTTGATTCCTTTTAATACCTCATCAGCTTCTCTTCTTTCAGTAAGCTATTTGCAAGGTTTTCCTTTATGCTCTCAACTGCTTCAGTTTTTTTTTTTAAATCACAACAATCCCTTTGCCATTAGTGCCTTGCTCTTATACATATTTATTTCAGGATTGTTAGTAGCCTTCCCCTTGTTAAAACTCTGGTCAGATTCCAGACCCTCCCATCCCCTGTAGCTGGTTTTCCCTTAATGGCTGTAGCTTTGCAGCGTCCTTTGCCAATTTGCTTGTTTACTGCATTCCTAGTTTGCACCTAGGGCTTCATGCACACTGAGCACATACTGTGCTCTACCACTGAGCTGCATCCTTGGTCAGTGTCCCGATCTGACCTCTAACTCCTGATCCTCCTTCTTCAGCTTCCTCTGCCTCCCACAATGCTGCCATCTCAGAGCGTGCTCTATGCCAGGAACTGTTTGTTTTTTCCCTACTACTGCTCCTGTACTACTACATTTCTCAGCACTGAAACCCTCTGTCTCAAGTCTTGGTCCTCTCCCTTCTGTTATCACTCGTTTTCTGATAAGCTCAATTGTCTCTGAACTCATCTTGGTTTAAACACTGTATAAAAGCTGGCAACAATTGGATCATATTCCTAGAAGACTTTTCTCCTGATCTCCAGATTCATGTATTCTGAGAGCTACTTAACATTTCCACTCAGCTACTCCTTACTAGGAAAGTAGATGCTTCAAACACAAGGCTTCCAAAACTGAACTCCAGATCTTCTCCTTTATCCTTGTGCACTGCACCATTATTTCCCATCTCAGCTGATAATCACCCCATCCTTCCACATGCTCTTCCTGAAAAGGTTAGAATTATCCTTTGTCTCTCTCCTTGCAACTCGGTTTTGATACACCACAAACTCTGTGGGCTCTCTCCACTCACGCCCTTGAAGACAACGCTTTTCACTGAACCACCACTGCCCTTCCCCATTATCTCATACCCAGATGACTGAAGTTGTTCCTCATAGGTCTTCCTGCATTCACCTATGTCTCTGCAAGTCGATTTTTAGCCTAGCAACTGAGGTTGTCATTTTAGGTCATGAGTCAGATCCTGTTACTCCTTTACTTAGACTCCTGTAATAATTTCCATGCCCATTAGAGTGGCAGTTAGGGTTCTTGCCATGACCTGCATGATCTGAGGACTCTGCTTGCTACTCCTCCTCCATTAACTTTATGATCTCAACTGTGCTTCTCCACACCTCATTTTCCCTCTTCCTTGGTGAATCACTGTGTCAGCTATACATACCTGGGGGCTGTCTCTTCAGCCTAAAATGCTTTTGGATGAGATTCCTGTTCCTCAGTTTCTGTGCCTCTGTCTTGTCTCTGCTCAGACCTGGCATTCTTACTATGGCTTCTGTGAGTAGGGCTCTCTTTAATCTGCCACTTGCTCTCTTCACCAGCAATCTTGATTTCATCCTTACCCACTCTACTTTCCTGATTTTTCATATAATTTTTACTTTATAACATACCGTATAATTTAATTATGTTTTCTTGTTGATCATGTATTATTTATCTCGAGTTCAAGAATGAAACTCCCCCCACCAAAGGAAAAGAATGAAGCTTCCTCCATCAGAGCAGGGTCTTTGCACTCTGGATTGATTTTGCCGATCCACCTAATACAGTGCTAATCCAAGACACACTTAATGCCTCTTCTGTTCAATTCATGAACTATTTTCAGCTCATATTCTATGCTAATTCTTCTCTGTTATTGCTCATCTTTGAATATTTGTTAGAAAATAGAGTAGGGGTTGTAGCCATCGGGAAGGCTGAGCAAGGAGACTGAGCCTCACCAACTTAGCAAGATAATAAAATGTAAAAATAAAAAATAAAATTGCACCAAGGATGTAGCTTAGGGTGAGGGTACTGGTTCAATTCCCAGTAGCGCACACATATGCAATGTGGAAAAGAGATAGGCGGGGAGAG